TCAGCTGAATCAGCCACAGGTCACTCCAGAGCTGCGATTATGAAGCTCAAAGCTGGACCATGATATGTTTCAGTCTTCAAGAACAAAGTGTCTACATCTGCCAAGAAGTTGTCTTCTTGATTCCTTGTATTGTGTTATTGAGTTTGCATCATTTTACTTGTAGTTAAATTGATCAACTTCTCTGAAGATACCACAGTTCCTGATGGCTTTACAGATAATATAATATGTACCCTGAATCTAACAGGAAGTCAACCATTTTTAATTATCAATGCAATGTTGGTGCAGTTTTTGCTATATACAGGTGCTAGACTTTGATGTACATGAACGTTTCATGTTCTGGTTTACACTCATTGTTTGATGTTTGTTCTCCAGTGCCACTTAGTGAACACTGGAAGTGATACATGATGTGTGCCACCACCTACTCCACGCAGGAAATTAGATCTCACCACAGCATCAGAGGGTCAATAGTTCACACCTGCATCCCGCCAGCACGCCTGTCATACTTGCTTTCCTTAATTCATTATGTCAAATCTCAGCATTAAACTTTAAAACCTCCACATGTTGACATGTCTGAGACTGAGGGTGACAGATATGTTGTCTGCTAAATTTTCTGTTGTTTTTTTTCATTTACCAGAAGTAGCCATACATTCTGAAATCATTCACACTTTAAAGGGACACTGATTGATTTTTGTTGACCTCTTGAGGACATAATAAATCTGCAACAAGCAGCGAAACACACATCAGACATGGTATTACCTCAATATTTGTTTTGGCTTCATGTTAGGAATCGGTTGCCTGTTTACACATCCAACAGTCACACATCAATGAAAGCATCATCTGGGATCATGTTTAGGTTTAACTGATTGATATCTATAGGTCTAATAGTCACATAATGCTCCATAATGTTCATCAGCTAATTGCAAAATGTATTTGTGTGCTGTTTGGTGTTGGTTAGGTCGGGCTTGTCTTCTTATAGCAAGACAAGGAGAGCATAATCTGCTCAACCGAAACAATGAGCTAAAAGATATAGAGCTGAAATGTGTGATGAATTTATGTCGCTTTATTAACGTGTGAACCCCCCTTTCACATCAAACACGCCATTTGATCTTTTTTTTAATTTAAAAGTGTAACTACTGATTAACACAATTTATATGCCCAGTGTCTTATTCTAACCCTTTTTTAAATTCTGAAAGTAGAGATCTGAATGTATGTATCTCTTAAAAAGAAAAAAGAAAAGTGGTTAACAGCTCCTCAACTTGACCGTCAGAGTGGTTCATTCTTTTTGTACAGCAGCAAGAAACTACAGGTAGCTTTTTAATTACTCACCGCATGCCATGATGAGCAGTGCAGCTATTATCAGCTCTGTCTTAGCCCCCGGGGCACTGTGGTAATTCCCTCTGCTCCTTTTTCAAAAGCTCTTGGTTTACAGGATGTACGAATGATGACTTTAGAGTGATGGCAACAACAGTGATTTGATTTCTCTGAACACCTTCAAACTGCCAAAGATTTATCATTTCATCTAAAAGGTAAAATTTTGTAAGACCTTTGGGAGATCCACCAAAAAATGAGTGTGTATTGACCAGTTATGGATGTAGTCTATCATATCTGACTTGATGGGTGAGGAATTATGTGCAACACAAATGTACAACTGTAAATGCCATCAGAGTGGTTCTCCCGACCCAGTTTTTCCAGTTGCTATGATGGATGATCTCCCCACAAGAAACTTGGTTCCTCTGAGCCTACGTCACATGTAAATATCAATCAGTGTCCATTAATGATGGATCAGAAGAATGGAAATATGTTGTTTATGCTTTATGAGTGTTGAAAATGATAGACACTTAAAATACTACTCAGGATATTAGTCAGTGCTTTCAGTACTTAGTGGGCTAAGTAACTTGTTTCATTGACTGTTTTAGTCAATCAAGTCAGCAGATTAATTATTAAGTGGTCCCTGACACTGATTCAGTGAAAGGTCTATATGAGGGTGCTGTTTCTGATGAATGACATGCTGTGGGAGGCAGTTTTTACATTTTCAGACAAATATGTTTCTGTTACACCCTCAGTCAGCAGAGTCTGGAAAGTCTACCACACGTTGGCGGCTACAGACCTTCCTTCACTTTGGTATAAAGTGGAAGATATGTGTTGAGTTGTGACTGTTGCTTTACTGTGGCTTTACCCAGGTACACCAGAATTAGGCCAAAACCAACCCACAGCGTAGGATCCAACCTTGCATGATAGGCTATTATTTTGTCTCAATACTGTTTTAAACTACTTTGTACTTTAACAGGTTTGAAAACAAATCATGTTGCAAACTGAATAAATTGTTTTTATTAAAGCTACGTGATGCAGTTCACATACATTTGCCTTCCTACAGTATCCAAGGAGTATTAACTATTGGCCACATAAATGCAGAAAAACATGCAACGTTGACAATTTTTTTCTTTATATATAAAGTTAGTATAGTGAACGTCCTCACATGTTTGCTATCCAGCACTCATTCATTTGGAGCTGTTCTGGTCACCAAGTCAGTATAAGTCCAGTTGAACATAGTGTATGATGGGTTGATCAGGGTTATTTGACTGAAAACAGCCACCTGCTGCAGGTGGAAACCGTGTTGTTGTGGGTGTATTGGCCAGAAGACCAATACTAAGAGGCTACAAAGCAGTGTAGACCTGATTACTCTCTGTGGGCTTATCACAACAAGCAAAACCTTTTAGTTTCTATTAAAAAAAATCAATGTTTACATGGACACCAATATCCTGATATTGACCTGATTAAGCCAATAGTCTGAATAAGACACTGCACTGAAAACGAATTAGTGAAAACATCATGAGGATTATTCTACATTCCTTTCACCTAAATCTTACACACTGGACCTTTAAGTCACATTATGTACACATCTTAATCATATTATAATGTCCTAGTGGAGTTTTCACAGCATTTTGCAACATCAACATACAAGAGTTAGCTACTGTTTTATGATATATTACCTCGGTGTTAATACAATGGAAAAAGAGTTACAGCTTTGGCAAAATTAAAGGTATAAAGAACCATCCTACTTCAAACTATTTCAGATAGGGAATAAAGTCCAATTGTAGGAAAATTGGTAACCAAGACAAGACGTCCCAACACTAATAATCATGATTTCTAACCTTACACCTTAATGAATACAAATAATTCACACATCACATCCACATATTGTAGCTCTTGATTTTTTGCACTCATCGATAACACAGTGAGCCTAGGTTTTCTCTTTCACTTATCTTCAGCTTGAATCTGTGGCAGACATCAATGTTTCATCAACTAGACTTGGTAAACCTGCCTTATTTTAGGCTAATTTCCACATTTGCCCTCATGTTAGTAATTGTTATTTAACATTTAAAAGAGCCCAGTTGAAGAATTTTGCCATAGCAGTTGATTGTTTCTTTAAGTCAAGAAACTAGATGGATGGATGTGTTTTCCCATGAAATAGTTTGAGCAAGGCAAAAGGTAATTCATCAAATGTGTGATTCTCTCCAGCTGAGTTGTTATCATTCAGCATTCTCAAAAAGTTGTGGAATACTGCACAAGTCAGGTGTATGCTTGAGTTGCTATGTGACACAGAGGTAGGGGTCCCATCATGAAAGTGAATGTGCTGTGTGATGGGGGATAAACAGGTAGTGAGCTACAGACCGTAGAAAAACTTTGCTTCATATTCTTATATATGATGCTGTGTTGAAGAGTCTGGGCATTCCCAGGACTCATGGTAGCGTTGATGCGAAGATTCTATTGATCATTATCTCTACTTACATAAAAGATGAAAGGCTACTTCTGGAGATCTTGTGCTCCTGCTTGTGCTTACTTGATATTATGTCTCTATGGTTGGAAATGATTTATTATGGCGTAACACTTCTGCTACCATGCAGAGTCTATCTTCACTCACTTAGAGGAAGTGATTTTTTTTTCTTATTTCATTTACATTTTTTCTAACTTTTTATGTAGCATTTCCCTTTCAATTAGGGCTATTCTCCTCAGCAGACACCAGAAGTAAGGCTGTGAATGGACTAAATAATAGCATAGATTTCACCGTCTGTGCTGAAATAGTTGTCATTCTTACAGGCAACATAAATGCACATGCCTGGTTAACGAAACACTCAACTCTGGTGGCCTCAAACTCTCTGCATGGCTTTGGCAGCATGTGCTCTACAATTAGTCTACAGTAAGCTAGTAGCTACCTCAAAGAGGAGTCGACACGACAACAAAATGCCAAAACTAAACAGTGGAAAGTGTGGCTGTATTTCATGTGAAAGAATTCTGACACTGAGATATGAAGTAAATGTAAATGTAAAATATCAATTTGCACCTTTATTATGTTTAAGCTTGTTTTTGAGTTAGGATCCTTATAGTTTCATATTTGCTTTATGTGCAGAAAACCCCTCTCCAAAAAATAGACCAGGTGAACAGACTGAATAAATATTTCCAATCTAAAAATCGGTATTTCTCTGAATCTTTTGGGTTGACTGGACATCAGAAGGGGCTGTGAGAGTCGTTGTTTTCTCATCTTGATTCTCTGATAACTTTAGACTCATACGTCTGATGTCTAAAATCCTTCTTTCGGTTAAAGGTCATAGTATAAGGTTATATAAAGGGACAATGATGTGACCTGAAACAATTAGGAAGTGAATTGATTTAATATATCCAGCCTACAACTTCTGCTTGTAGAGATCTCTAAACCTAATCTCAATCTGGTCCAGATCTTCATGTTAGCATGTTAACATGCTTTGTAAGTAAAAGTGGACAAGACAGTTTGACCTGTTGATGGATGACACTTTTTTCTAAAGCCTGTTGGATTCAACCTCAAGAGACAATAAATGTCTGAAAAAAATGTATGGCAATTTATCCAACTGACCAAAACCAGGGGACCTAATGCATCAGTGTGGCTACACACTATAACAATCCAAAGAGTTTTAATTTTCAATGCAGTCTGTCTTAAGTGACAATGTTTCAAACAAGTGAAACAGGTGTGTGTGTGTGTGTGTGTGTGTGTGTGTGTGTGTGTGTGCTCTCTAATCGGCCAGGTAAAGGTGTGTGCTGTCTTAAAGCTTAACCAAGGGTCAGAGGAGAGATGACACCTGACCAGCCAACAAAGCACAGCTCTGCTTCCGTTCCATCAGTCGTCTTTCGACACGCGACTTTGTGTTTCCTGTTAATTCCCCTCTCAGACTGGCCAGACGTTTTTTCCCCCCCTCTGATGTGGCAGATATTTTACCGAGCTCTGTGTTTGATAAACAAAACGGGTTCAAGGATCTGTTTCATCCATTCAACAAGTACAAATCATAGGTGATAATGAATTTAGGGGGTTAACATGTGCACCGTAAGTTCAAACACTTGAAAATTCAAGAAGAAAGCAGGTTTAGGAGATTTAACAGACAGGTGTTTTAAAAATTGGGAATAGATTTAAAAGTTAAATCAGTAGTTTTTTCCCTTTGGAGTGTTAAATAGGCAGCCACATTTATAAAGAGAAACCCTTTTCTCAAAGTGAATAAATACTTCATCAGTGTAAAGAGCAGCATTAGTCACAGGGGATGTTTGAACTAATCACTGGACCAAGTTTATGAAAAACTCCAAGAGCAGGATATTTACCTGCAGCTTCGACAAGCCCACAGATCAGAACCTGGAACCTGTATTTTGGGGTGGTGCAGATTCAAAGGAGGAAATGTTGACCAACTCCCTTGCACACTCCTGCAGTATTTGCAGTGTAAACTAGGAGGCTGGCAGAGGAGCGTGTTCTTATTTATCTTGGCTTTAGGCTTATCAGTGCAGATTGGAGCTGTTATTAGAAACATTTTTGTGGGTGGCCTCTCCTGTGTTTGTGGTTGTGCTGCGAGGCTTGGAGGGAATTATCTGCAGCCTCCTGTGAATCTAGACCCTTTTGTTGTGAGGGAATAAATAATATAGTACATCAATAACATAGACAGAGAGACTGTGTTTAAAAGTGCAAGATTCCTAAATGGTAAAATAGGTTCTTGTCCGCTTTTTGTCTCTGCAATGAAATATTATTTTATCTATCTACACGACTTTTCACAATATTGCAAGAAGCAAAAAGCACACTTCAGAATCCGAACATTTGAATAAGAACGATAAATAGCTCTGGATGAATGAACAATGATAGAGGAATGAAATGACTGGCCTTTCATTTGAGAGAACAGATATGCAGAGGTCAAACAAAGGAGGTTAGTTTAGTTTATCAGTTGGGTTGTATCATCCACTTTTATTCATCACTCAGCTCAAACAAACAGAAACCACACAACAAAAGCAGAATTGTTTGCAAACAGTTAGAAGACATAAGATCAGTGGGTCATTGACCTTCTTGCCAATCCCACGATTATCTTAAATCATGACATACATTGTGTTGTCAGCTGCTGAATCTAAAGCAGTTAACTTGGTGCTTCCTTCTTGGACATAGAGCTGCATGATTCTTTTTTTCTTTATAAAATTATGATTCACAATACATTTTCTCTGAAACCTAGAATTGAAACATACAGTATTTAAAGACCAATGTGACCTTTGCATTTACACTGATGTCAAATAAGGTCTATGGAGTGCAATCAGCAACTGGGAATGTACCTGAGCTCTTGTGTAATTATTTTTAAAAGCTCTTCATTAAGATCCCTGCAGTCACACAGTCATGTAATGGATGCAAACAATTCCATCCTATCAAGCCACATCAACGTGAGGATTTGAGAAAGCAGAGAGCAGGGAGCTTTTCTCCACCGAGTGCACTTTAACCTGAACTTTCATCGCCTGACGTAGGTGGGTCTGGCTACAACAAAGGATAATGGTTCCGATGACTGATCCCAGTGCTGTCTCACTGTGTGGCATGCAGTCTGCTCCTGTGCTGCTTCTGTGTCACCACACACACACACACGCACACACACACACATTTCTTTAAGGCCTCAATCAAAGCTACTTGTTGGGCTCTGCCAAGTTCAGCTCAGTTTCAATTCAGTGATTTATTTAGGCTGTGAAAATACTTCCATCAGACTCCAATGGATAACAAGTGAATCACACTCGCTTCGGATTTTACCCAAGTGCGTACATGCACAAGAAAAACCAGCAAGCAATGGCAGGCACGGTTACTCATAGTCCCAGAATGCATTTTTGGGCAATTGAATCATAACACGGAAATTTCTGTGTAATATGTCAAGTTCTTCAGGTCAGCACTGAGGCTCCTCCATGTTTCACACAAAACATAAAACAATGATCAAAATATTCATCCCATCTTTACTATACGTTCCTAGTCGATTTTGTCTGTGGCTCGTAGAATAAAATACATTTCTGATGCCTGCCTGGCAACACACCCATCTGCACTTTAATGTATGTACACATTTACACAAAGTTCTGATCAATTTTGAAACATTTTAAATTGAAAGTTGGGATATTTCTCTCACATTTTCTCCCCACAAGTATTAGTTCAAGTGAAATGAATTATATAGATAGTAAAAATAAACTCAGCTTTGTGGCTCAGCAAAGGCTTGAATAAAATAGTTTGTTGTTTCTTTTGAATTTCTTGAATTGTGTCAAATATTACTGAATAAGTTTTGCCTTTTTGAAAAAGTGACAGAAATATATATATACATATTTTAGCCGTAATTGTTATGAAAGATTAAAAAAATGTCACATTTAAAATTAAATGAAAATAAAGAAAGCACTGACACTTTTCAGATTTACTTTTATTATTTTAAAATTATTATTTATTTATTTGATTCGTTGTTTTTTGCAAACTCGGTTTGTGCTGATTGCTCTGTCTTCCTGTGATTTACACCTCCACTGGCCCCGGCCTCAGTGCGGCAGACAAAACCCTCCAAATGAACAGGTAACATAGGCTAAATGTAGCCTGACCCAGCGCTGAGAGGTGCGGTTTCTGGCTGCACTTGACCACACCACAAAGGCCAAATGCTCCTTGCCTCTGCTTTTTCAGACTGGAAATGGCTCCTATCCACAGCTAATGAACATCCTTTCACTAGATGACAAATTGAGGAGACAAATGTGTGTCAGGTCGTCATAAAGTCTTCTCCCACAGAGCGGTGCAGAGTGCTGCCTGTGGATGTGGGGAATGTGAACTTGCTCTGTTGTGGAGCAGTCAAACAGACAAAGAGCCGGGCCACGGCCGTCAGCGGCTGTGGGGCACACTAAGCATCTGGTGACAGATCAGTCGGGATGCATGACCACTTTACACTAGGCCGACTGTGTGTGGGAGTCCTGGATAGATACATGGAGTGTTTTTACTGCCTACTTAGTGCACACCTCAGGAATTTCAGTGCGGTCCTGTCTTCACTAGTAAAACCTGCTTGTGTGCTCTGCTCCAAACAGCCATGTGTTTAATTGTCTGTGGTAGGAGCCTGCAAAGCACAAGCATCTTCTTTTTCTCCATCCGTCACATGAACTAAGACTTCTTCCCCAGGCTGATTCATTTTGAAAAAGCAACATGCAACTGCTGGAGAAGTTTGTGGAAGTCTAGAGGCTTTGCAGACAGTGTAATGATTCCTCGCTGATGATTCAGCACATGATAGTGAAATGTTGCTCTTAAAGGTCAGAGTTTGTGCAAGGATAGTTTGGTAAAATGGTATCCAACCTCTTGATCATTTGTGAGGATTATTCGAAAAAAAACATGATTGCGCTTGGTCTCCTTTCATCCTGATGCCACCCTGTCTGAGTAAATATAATGAATCCTGTCATTGTGTGTGGCATGTTGGGTAACTGTGTCACAACTGTAACTCTACACTTTATGGTCTCAGCCAGTTCTGAGCAATTTAATCCTACAGTGTACAGTTATGTGAAACAATGGATCCACGTGAAAGGCTCCTTATGTGTGTGCCAAGACTGTTTGGTTAACCTCTGTGTACAGAGGTGGGCACTATTCTGTATGGGCGGCTGTGGTTCAGGAAGTAGGGCAGGTTGTACACCAACCGGAAGGTTGATGGTTCAAAAACACAAGACACTGAACCCTAAACTGATCCCTGTACTGTCAGTGTGTGCTAGAAAGAGCGCTGTCTAGAAGCGTTGCATGAATGGGTGAATGTAACTCATACGGTGAAACCCTTTACAGAACTAGAAAAATGCAGCATAAGACGGTTGAAGTCAGAGGGCTCTCCACACCATAGACTGTAGCTACATAAAAATGGATGTAAACCGTGGATCTGAAACGTGAAGACAAATCGGAAGTGTCTGTTCTCTCAAACGACCTGCAGAAGGTCGCAAAAAAGTCTGTTTCTATACAAGTTTATATACATTTTTTGTCTGGGATTATGGTCTCAATCTCTAGTTTGAAGTCTTCTTCAATAAAGCATCATGTTCATTTTGTAAATTACAGTTATAATACATTATACATTGGGGCATTGATACCGTGTGACTGAGAGCTGGTACCGTTGATGAAATGCAGGTCACAAGTGTTGGAGGGTGTTAAGTGTCTTATAGTTCTCAGTCAGTCTGTAGCCCAGGCTCCTCCAAATATGGTAACAAACAAGATGGCGCTGGACAAAATGCCAAATTCCAAACAGCAGCTCACACGGTGGGTTGCCACGTCATTCTAAATTCATGTTCTGATTTTCGAGTTAAGAAATGAAGGGTCACGGAACAGACCTACAACCTATAAGAGCAACAAATTGTGTTTACAGTTGGACTGTCACTTTTTATTTGAAATTTGAACATTAATTTAAACATGGGTGGAAGTTCATGTTGAAACTGTAATGATCCAACAGACTTCTAATCATTAGCGTCAGCCGTCTCGGTTGTCAACAAAAAGGCTTCAGATGCGCTCTTCTGTCAGTCACCATATCGAACCCGCCCCATGTGATCAGAGGAATGGCTGTGATTGGCCAGTTTCAAGACAAAGAGAAACTGGTCTGAATGTGTCGGGGGGTCAGACTTGTCTTTGAGAAGCAGTGAACATGTGTATGCTGGTTGCTGTAGTTTCCAGGATCACCGATCTATTATCTCGTGCATCACTTAATTCCAGATGTGAAATGATTGGCCTTGAAGCTTGATGTATAAAATCCGTTA